AACCGGAAATAGACCTGGCCAAAATCTCGCATTCGGGGCAGAAATTATCCAACTTGATTTTTCCCACAATTACAATTGTCGGATGTCCTTAAAGCAGTTTCATTCAATCCGGTCTCTCCATTTCGCAGGATTGACAGAATTCTTAATGTAAAAGGATATGTCAAGATTCTTGTTTATCAAGAGGGCCAACAGGGAACTTAAGCTTGATCAAAAAACGACAGAAAGGTATACTACAAATCATGGAGTTCGCAGTTCACTTCTTCGACCTCCAACAGGTTGAACTTTTCTAGACGAACTTAAATAAATAAATAAATAGATATAATAGAAAAAAAGAGCCTAAATTTGTAACATATAGAAATCTTAATAGCATTGATATTCAAAGTTTTAAGACGCAGATTGCATCAATGCAGCTTAATGACGTTTCTTTCGTGAATGATGTGGATATTAAAGACTCTATTTTTACTGGCCGTCTTATTTATCTATTCGATCTCTACGCTCCGCATGTATAGTACGTGTCACGAAACCTGTTGCGCCCTGGCTCACTCCTAACTTGAAAATGATTTTTCAACTCAGAGACGAGGCATTCGCTGTCTATCAGCATAACAGATCTGATCAGAATTGGGCCAGCTACAAAGATTTGAGAAATTATGCCCTTGCATTGCTTAGAAGAGAGAAAAAAAGCATATATGTCACGTTTCCGAAATCTTAACTCTAGTCAAGCTTGGAAGCACCTGAGGAGGATGAATGTGGTAGCCCAGAAACATGTTGCGATACCTCCCAGTCTCCTTGAGCCTAACATTTTAAATAATTATTTTCTTTCAATTTTCCAGACAGCTGCAGCTGATCCAAATTTGATTGATAGTGTCTCTAACTCTTGTAGCGATAGACGCCATACACCGGATGCACCTCTGTTTGCTTTTAAACTCCTTACTCAGCAAGACATCGACAATATAATCTCTCACATTAAGTCTACGGCATGTGGCTCTGATGGTCTAACTTTAAATATGGTTTGCTTATGTTTGCCTGATACCATAGACCATATAACTCACATTATTAATGTCTGTCTCGAAACAGGTTACTTTCCTGCCAGTTGGAAAAATGGTATCTCAGGCTAATTACTTTATTATGCTTTCTATCAAAAATACTCGAAAGAGCTGTCTACTCACAACTAGTGGAGTTTTTCGAACAAAACCACTTATTTCCTCTACATCAGTCAGGTTTCAGAGCTGGTTACGGCACTACTTCGTCTTTATTACATCTTACTGATTCCATCATTCACAATTTAGATAATCACATCAACAGCGTCTTGGTACTGTTAGATTTCTCGATAGCCTTTGATATGGTCAATCACCAGATACTACTGAGTAAGTTATCTCATTATGGAATGTCAGATATAGATCTAAGGTTCTTTGAGTCATACTTGCTAAATCGTCAACAAACAGTGAAAACTGATCAGGGAATTTCCTCCTCTGAGCCAGTTCCTTCAGGAGTTCCTCAGGGCTCAGTATTAGGTCCCTTACTATATCTGATTTATACGATCGATCTGCAAGACTGTTTAGTCCACTGTAGTATGCAAACTTATGCAGATGATACTCAGTTAGTGTTTGGTTTCGATCCATCAAAGGTTGATGAAGTTTCTTTTAAAGTTAATTTAGATTTGGCTAACATCGGTGATTACTGTAACAAACACTGCTTGAAGATCAATCCTAATAAAACTACTGCAATGTTGTACTGTTCGAAGAACTCCTACCGTGAAATGAAGCAGAGGATTTGTGTTTTTTTAGATGAGACACTCATCCCTTTTGTGGATTTCGCCAATAATCTCGGTGTTACCCTTGACTTAAATATGAGATTCGATCGGCATGTCTCTTTCTTATCTAGAGTAACGTATATGCGTTTGAAACTCCTCTATTCTAATCGATACATCTTGAATTTTAAAACCCGAAAAAAGCTCGCTGAAAGTCTTGTGTTGTCTGTCATTTCTTACTCTCTTGTTCTGTATTACCCATGTTTAGACTACGTCCACAAAAGGGAATTCCAGAAAATTCAGAACAGCTGTTGTAGGTTTATTTTTGGATTGCGCAAGTTTAGTCGCGTCTCAGATAAAATCAAAGAACTCAACTGGTTGCGAATTGATAAGTTATTTTTATATCTTTTGACCGTCTTCACGCATAAAGTTCTATTATCTAACAGACCAGCTTACCTCGCTAGCAAATTAGTTCACCGAGGTAGTTTTGTTACCAGAGCTCTTAGATTTAATGCTAATTTTAACATGCCTCCTCACAATACCTCGGTCTTTGAAAGAAGTTACACCTATAATGCTGTCAAGCATTACAATGCAGTCAACAGTGGCTATCGATCCAAACAGGTTGTTTCTTTTAAGAAATTAATGAAAAGTTAGCTGCTGGAGTCCATTTAGTTCAGTTTTTCTTGTGTTCATGTGATTTTTATTTTGTTTGACTATTTTCTACTATTTTTGTTTCAAATTTAAAATTCTCGCAATACTTTCTGCATTTATCTCGTGCAATCAATGTTGTCATTCTTATGAATTGTATTTTTTTTTTGGTATGTTATTTTTTTTATGTGCTTAAGTATTCTTTTTTCCTGTTGTGGGGTTGAGTGTAAGAGTAGCCGTCAGACCCGTCGATTTTGTTTTCGAGGGGGACACAAGTTTGGCAAAAAATCACGTTAGCACGTGCAGCCCCCTAAGCGGGGGTGACACCACCCCAAAAATCTTAAAAGGAAACGGGGGTCGAGTGATACCTGATTTTAAAGGTCTTTCAATTCCCTTTATAATGATATAAAATTAATGTACTCCAGCTTAGTAGTTTTGAAGATTAATTGATTTAAAGCTTAAATAAAGCTAATAAATCATCATTAGTGGAGATCAATATATTTGGCAGCAAAGTAATTTAAAAATGAATATTTGAGGAGTAATTTGAAGGCACTCATTCACAATTCTTTGTCGCAGGTCTTCTAATGATGTCGGCTGAGTAGCATAGATTTTGCTTTTTCAATGACCCCAAATAAAGAAATCCAAAGGTGATAAATCTGGCGATCTTGGGGGCCATTCAATGGCACCTCTTCTACGAATCCATCGATCTGGAAACGTCTGATCTAAATATTGTCGAACACGTAATGCGTAATCTGGTGGGAACTTGAATACAAAAAGTATGTGAATTCATTACGAAGTGCATTTTGAACCAATTTTCCGTGTTTTGTGCCTGGTTTGCCTATCACCTCTTGGGGCATAAAAAATGTGATCATGTTAAAAAATCGAATTGGAAAACTCCTCCCACCAACCTGAGGCCTTCGCCTCGTCTAACACCCGAAAGGTGAGAGCAAACTCAATTTGGTGTGAAGGATAAAGTAAAGCCGCTCACAAATTATGAGGTCTCATTTTAATACAGAACTCGCTTGGTGTACCAAAACAGGCCTCTACTTTTACTTTCAAATCGCAAGGGAGAAATGATACCAATTTCGAAAATTACGTCTACCCGTTAACTTAAAGGAAGGCTAACTTCTTTTCAAGTCTAATTCAATTTTAAAGGATCAATGTCTACAAGAGCGCCTTTCGGTTCTGAAAACAACTCAAATTTAATGTTTACATTTAAATGTATTATTCATTAAACACCCAAAGCTCACAACTTTTACAATGAACAGCACACAATATAATATAAAAATGCTGAAAGAACCAGAATAAAGTCTGTGAAGTTTGTTGTCCCAGACATGTTCAATCGGAAATAGGTCAGGCGATCGCGGTGGCCAAGGTAAACGGTTGATGCGATTTTGATCCATGAAGGCTAACGATGCTCTGGCTACATTGGCTGTCCCATTACAAAACACAGTAACCGACGTTTTTGTCAAAATCGAGTTTTTAATAAATTTGAACTTGCTGTGTTTTGCTCTACTTTCTGGTATTGTTAAAACTAAAATCGGTCCATAAATCAGGAAAATACAGTAACCGACAGTTGACCGAGGCTTCTCCCACTGCAAAACACAGTAACTAACAAAACCCACATGAAAACCATGTAACTGCTAAGTAGTTACTGGGTTTTGTCATGGTTTTTGTAGTTACTGTGTTTTGATTTGAGAAATCGTCTCCCAATTTATCTGCCCTATTAATATAGACATAGCGAGTTGTTCAATGAGTTTCCCTCTGACCACCGTAGCGAGAGGATGTTGCCCCGTGAGACGATGCTGGCATGTAGTAAACAAATATAGTTTCTTCAGCACGCTCGGGGTTGAAGAAGGTGCTCATGCAAGTTCTGAAACATACCTTATTATTTTGAACTCAAAAGCCATACAAATTCAAACCCTTTGGCACGTGCGCATACACGTAAAACATGCGCACAAGAAGAAGAAGATTTCGTGAAGTCAATCTCGTAAAGATTGGAAAACGCAACGGTCATCTTCAAAACCTCTACAAAAGAATCCTAGTTAAACCGGGTACAATATATCCGCTAAGGCAAGTGTGGTGAACCTAAGAAGAAGCTGTGAAGAGAGAGGTCCTCCTCCAGACCTGGCGACACGAACACCCAGGTACGTGCCAATACTACATCGTCTTTGAATGGCTCCGGTGTCGATTACCTTATTATCTTAATTAATATCTGAACGCGCTTACAGTCCCGCGGCTCTCCACAATTTAGAAACATCTTTGCAATAACAGAAGGTAACTGAAACATATTATAATTTCATCGTCCGTAATTCTTTATTTTTTTAGAATATCGAGGTACTCCCGCTTTTGCCATAAGTCAATTTTGAAATACCTTTATTTTTTGTAAGCAACTATGAGAGTGAAAATCAAAAAGAAACTCACCTAAACAGGTTGAAAAGTTCTTACTCTTTTAACGATTTGGCACGGAAAATTGAAGATTTGAAATGTATTCGCATAGAAAGCGCAGTCGCAAGATAAGGATTACTTCCCCACACCACAACCATAGTCTAACGATAGCGAAGGAAATGATGACAAAATTAAAATTAAGGTAAAGAAGATAAAAATGACTGCCAAGAAAAAGCTAGTTCAGGAGTCAGCTCAGGTTAGGAAGGTTTTTATTATTTATATTGTGGTTTAGGGTATTAATGTATACAATATATTGAACCAAATGATCTTCTAGGATGCTAACAAAGAGAACAAATCGCCCAGTGCTATTCTGGAAAGTCAAGATGCTAGTTTGGTGGTAAGATTCCAACTTGTATTTTAATTAAATAAATTTACTGTTTATTTTGTATTTTTTATAGGTGTTGAGACAAAAGTAATTAAGGTGAGTCGCACAGCAGCAAAAAATAACAGAAAAAGGCCAAAGGGAAAACAAAAAAATGAAAGGAATAAGGAAAAACATCCTACGACACCCGTGTGTAAATTAACAGAATAACATCTAGGAAAATATACTAAGTGACATATAAATCCGAACACCCAGTTTAAATGGTTTTATTTTAATAAAATTTTGTATAAGTACTTAATGAAGCATAATAAGTAAATGATAAAAATTTCAAAATGATTGCACTGCTTTAAAGCCCTTTGACCTTTAATAATGTGTGGATGCACCCTGATGTGCCACGCATTCTCCAACGCGCCTAGGCATGCTTTTGATCAGGTGGTCAATGTCCTCCTGTGGTATCTCATTCCAGGCAACCTCCAACTCCTCTCGAAGTGCTTCTAGAGTCTGAGGAGGACGTTGCAAATTGAGCAATCTCCTACCCATCATATCCCATACGTGCTCAATTGGGGATAAGTCGGGAGATCTTGTTGGCCATGGTAACAATGTGACATCATTATGTTGAAAGAAGTCTATTGTGACTCTTGCAACACGTGGTCGGGCATTATCTTGTTGGAAAGTTGGATCCGCCAGGGTGTCAAGATAGGGTAAAAGATGGGGTTCTAGAACTTCGTGGATATAACGCTGCGCGTTCATGTTACCTCTGATGAAGATTAAAGGTGACCTGGAACCATAAGCTATAGCACCCCAAACCATAACTCCAACAGTGTGATGAATATGTCTTTCAACAAAAAACTGTGGATTCCTCCTTTCACCACGTCGCCTTCTAACCCTGGCACGACCATCGTGCATGCCTAAACAAAATCGAGACTCTTCACTAAAGACAATACTGTTCCATTCCTGATCCCAGAGTGACCGTTGTCTGCACCACTCAAGGCGATTAAAGGATAAATCATAGATATTTTACTGATTGGGATAGAATTAAGTCTAGTCCCAAAGAAGGACGACAGGGCAAGCTCGTCAATCCTATTTCTACTAGTCAGCTCGGTTTTTTCAGTGTTGACAGAAACATAGAACGCTCTGCTTAATCTCGGAGACCATTCTACAAACGTTTACAATACTTCCTCGCCAGTTTTGGCATGGGAAGTAAAAATTGACGAATTATGCGCATGATTAAAGGGACTCCTGTGAAGATAAAACGACCGCCGAGTTTCACACGTTCCACCGCTCATCAAACTGCAATAATTGCGGACGGCAGGTAGAGGCCGGTCCTTTTCCGAACTCGCTAAAGTATCCACACCAGAAACCCGGAATCCGATTCCGGGATGTGGACAGTGCCAGATGTTGCTCGAAAGTCGGAACCGTCTGACGCTAATTATATTCAGGATAATTCCCGAGTTTTATCTGGTGCTCCGTTACTTTCAATTACAACGGTTCGTAGGTAATGTCCGAATTGAAACAGCGGATCCCTTGCTTTTACGGTTAATGACGGTTTAATTTTTTTCAAGGAATCAAAGTTTTCTTCTTCGTTGTAAAATACTTGTTGGGTACTGTTGTAATAGCACTAGACGTTGCAGTTCTTTTGTAGTTAAATCTTCGGTTTCCTCGTATTTATCTGTTGCTAATTTTCTTTTTGGTAGCAATGTCTTCTGAATTGCTGGCGCGGTAATATACTAAGTGACATATAAATCCGAACACCCAGTTTAAATGGTTTTATTTTAATAAAATTTTGTATAAGTACTTAATGAAGCATAATAAGTAAATGATAAAAATTTCAAAATGATTGCATTGCTTTAAAGCCCTTTGACCTTTAATAATGTGTGGATGCACCCTGATGTGCTACGTATTCTCCACCGCGCCTAGGCATGCTTCTGATCAGGTGGTCAATGTCCTCCTGTGGTATCTCATTCCAGGCAACCACCAACTCCTCTCAAAGTGATTCTAGAGTCTGAGGAGGACGTTGCAAATTGAGCAATCTCCTACCCATCATATCCCACACGTGCTCAATTGGGGATAAGTCGGGAGATCTTGGTGGCCATGGTAACAATGTGACATCATTATGTTGAAATAAGTCTATTGTGACTCTTGCAACATGTGGTCGGGCATTATCTTGTTGAAAAGTTGGATCTGCCATGGTGTCAAGATAGCGTAAAAGATGGGGTTCTAGAACTTGTGGATATAACGCTGCGCGTTCATGTTACCTCTGATGAAGATTAAAGGTGACCTGGAACCATAAGCTATAGCACCCCAAACCATAACTCCAACAGTGTGATGAACATGTCTTTCAACAAGAAATTGTGGATTCCTCTTTTCACCACGTCGCCTTCTAACCCTGGCACGACCATCGTGCATGCCTAAACAAAATCGAGACTCGTCACTAAAGACAATACTGTTCCATTCCTGATCCCAGAGTGACCGTTGTCTGCACTACTCAAGGCGATTACGTCGGTGTTCTCGAGTTAAAGGGAGGACCCAGTGTGGCCGGTATGAAAACAAGCCAAAAATTCTCATTCGTCGGTAAACACTTCGCATGCCAATAGGTCTTCCGTGTTCTGCAAACCATTCATTTGCAATGGACCTGGTAGTGGAGAAACGGTCCCTTAAGGCCAATAATCTTAGGCGGCGATCTTCACGGTCTGTTGTTCTACGGCGGCGTCCAGTGCCCCTTGCTCTTTGCGTACGGCCTTCTCGAAGCCATGCCTGACAACACCTAACCACAGTGTCTACACTTCTTTGCACTCTAACTGCAATTGCCCGAAAAGAAAGTCCAGCTTCCCGAAGTCCCACTATACGGCCCCTATTAAACTCACTGAGTTGACGAAATCGTACAGGTCTCCGTACTCTAGGCATCGTAACCGATCGTAAAGGATGTCAAGAACCAAAATCCGCCAACGTTGATTCTTTATTGCGGCTGAAATATTCATTTTTAGAGCGTTAGTGAATTAAAAAAAGCAGTATAAAAACCGGAATGTCCAACTGATAAGGCTGAAAATTTTTCACTTGTTATTTACAGTAAGATAAATACATACACCAACTTTTATTAAAATAAAACCATTTAAACTGGGTGTTCGGATTTATATGTCACTTAGTATACTAACTGTTTGCTCACTGCGCTTCGGTATATAGTTCACTTCCTTCTTCTTGAACACTACCAACCTGAATGGCACCTCTAATTTTCCCAATCGTAGGATTACAGTCACCTTCCATAGCTTTCAGCAACTTTCTTTCCCAATCTAACAATTTAATTGCTTTATTACCAGTTTTTTTTAGATCTGTTTTTTTCTTCAATATTGATTTCATGTTGTTGACTTTTTTTAATAAGCCTTTAGTATCTAATGGTTTACCGAATGTTGATTCGTATTTTTTCAACATCTTCTTCAAATACCAGTCAACCTTTTACTTCTTCTTGGAGGATATCCTCGCGAGTATAAGGTAATCATTATGAGTATGAAAACAAGGATATGCTTATACTTCTACCTTTTTCTCCGAAGCAAGACCTTACCGTTATACCTTATATTTTTTTATGAATACGGCTCAATAACTCATGAAAGGTTATTTGAAAGACAGGAAACAATGTAAATATGAACACTAACAGTACACTAAGTGAAAATAGAACACTTAGATGTGGAGTTACACATCGAGCCATATCTCAGAATTTGAAAAATATCGCGGAGGTACCCTTTTCCATTATTTCAATTGCCGTTGTAAAAAGTTAAGGTCACCGTTGAACTCCTTGCTTAAAGTTAATGAAGACCTTACCTTGTCCTGTGTCAAAAATACTTTACCTGAATCGTTCTTGTTACACCCCGTATGCATTTATTTCCAATCAGATGGGAAATGCAAAGTCTCGGTATCTACGAGTAGAAGGTAAATCTCTTTTCCGAAAACTTTGTTGTCAAGCATTATGATCATTATCAAGAAACTGGGACGTGTTTAAAGTACCCCAGAGACGTTATAACTAGGACCCTTAGGATAGATATCTCGCGCTATCACGCTGTTTGGGCAAACTAACGTCCGGAAATATCAGCGGAGCTTGGAAAATTGACCTAGCTAGACGGCGGAAATTTATGCTTCAACATTTATGGGCCTCAATTTCCAAGTTGAAATTATTCAAATTTTGATCTTTATTAAGCCATCCGTTTACGGTAGGTGAAAGAGCTATATACTCGTATGCAATGATTATGCTTTTAACTTTTAAGCACCATAAAGCAGCAGTAAATTTTATATTAAAAGGAGACCCGACCACTTTTGATGTCTAGCTGTAACTATTTATAAACAATAATATATACTAAGTGACATATAAATCCGAACACCCAGTTTAAATGGTTTTATTTTAATAAAAGTTGGTGAATGTATTTATCTTACTGTAAATAACAAGTGAAAAAAATTTCAGCCTTATCAGTTGGACATTCCGGTTTTTATACTGCTTTTTTTTAATTCGCTAACGCTCTAAAAATGAATATTTCAGTCGCAGTAAAGAATAAACGTTGGCGGATTTTGGTTCTTGACATCCTTTACGATCGGTTACGATGCCTAGAGTACGGAGATCTGTACGATTTCGTCAACTTAGTGAATTTGATAGGGCCGGTATAGTGGGACTTCGGGAAGCAGGACTTTCTTTTCGGGCAATTGCAGTTAGAGTGCAAAGAAGTGTAGACATTGTGGTTGGGTGTTGTCAGGCATGGCTTCGAGAAGGCCGTACGCAAAGAGCAAGGGGCACTGGACGCCGCCGTAGAACAACAGACCGTGAAGATCGCCGCCTAAGATTATTGGCCTTAAGGGACCGTTTCTCCACTACCAGGTCCATTGCAAATGAATGGTTTGCAGAACACGGAAGACCTATTGGCATGCGAATGAGAAGTTTTGGCTTGTTTTCATACCGGCCACACTGGGTCCTCCCACTAACTCGAGAACACCGACGTAATCGCCTTGAGTGGTGCAGACAACGGTCACTCTGGGATCAGGAATGGAACAGTATTGTCTTTAGTGACGAGTCTCGATTTTGTTTAGGCATGCACGATGGTCGTGCCAGGGTTAGAAGGCGACGTGGTGAAAGGAGGAATCCACAGTTTTTTGTTGAAAGACATGTTCATCACACTGTTGGAGTTATGGTTTGGGGTGCTATAGCTTATGGTTCCAGGTCACCTTTAATCTTCATCAGAGGTAACATGAACGCGCAGCGTTATATCCACGAAGTTCTACAACCCCATCTTTTACCCTATCTTGACACCCTGGCAGATCCAACTTTCCAACAAGATAATGCCCGACCACATGTTGCAAGAGTCACAATAGACTTCTTTCAACATAATGATGTCACATTGTTACCATGGCCACCAAGATCTCCCGACTTATCCCTAATTGAGCACGTGTGGGATATGATGGGTAGGAGATTGCTTAATTTGCAACGTCCTCCTCAGACTCTGGAAGCACTTCGAGAGGAGTTGGTGGTTGCCTGGAATGAGATACCACAGGAGGACATTGACCACCTGATCAGAAGCATGCCTAGGCGCGTTGGGGAATGCGTAGCACATCAGGTTGCATCCACACATTATTAAAGGTCAAAGGGCTTTAAAGCAGTGCAATCATTTTGAAATTTTTATCATTCACTTATTATGCTTCATTAAGTACTTATACAAAATTTTATTAAAATAAAACCATTTAAACTGGGTGTTCGGATTTATATGTCACTTAGTATATATGGTTCATAAAAAATAAGTCGTCTAAATTGCACGATACCATTTTGTGGTCAGATATGCCGTTAGAATCAAGAACCAAACAGTCGGAAATAATGTCTGGTTTATTAGTAAAAACTGGATCTAATAAGGATGCTGTGGTACTTGTCACTCTTGTAGGATCACTGACAATTTGAGAAAAACCCACCATTTGAAAGCATGGAGACGTTGTTGCCGCTCAAAATATCAACATTCAGATCTCCTACAATAACAATGTTATCAAAATTGTTTGACATTAACGGTAGCATGAGATCAAGAGCTTTGATGCAATCATTGAGGTTTTGTGAGGGTGGTCTAACGTATTTCCTAAAAGTTTTGGCTTTTTGCGTTTGAGAGAATTTGGGGCACTTGAATCTCTTTCGATATACATGAAGAATTAGGAATAAGAAAATTAGTTTCTCGTCGGATACCCCACCTGTTGACTGAAGAGCAGAAAGCAGCCAGGGTTAATTGGTGTCAAAAAACGTTTGACCGTATCAATTCCGGAACCTAAAAAAATGTGTACAGCATTGCTAGTGGTGATGAATCGTGGATTTATTGTTATGAACCAGCAAATAAACGACAGTCGGCTATTTGGGTGTTCCAAGGTGAAAAGAAAAGCCAACAAAAGTCATCCGTTTCGAAAAAGATGGTCGCGACACTTGTGTCAAAAGCGGGTCATATTGCAACAATTTCTCTCAATGAGCAAAGAACTGTTACTGCGGATTGGTATACCACCATTTGTTTGCCTAAAGTCATCACCGAGCTTCGAAAAATCAACCCCGAAAGAAGAATCTTCCTCCACCAAGACGATGCAAGCTCGCACACAGCCCAAAAAACAAGGCAGTATTTAACGGAAGAAAACGTGGAATTATTGGACCATCCTCCATATAGACCCGATCTAAGTCCTAACGATTTCTTTACTTTCCCGAAAATTAAAAACAGACTGCGTGTTCAAAGGTTCCAGTCACTAGAAAAAGCATTCAAAGATCGCGTTTTGGATCTGCCAGCAATCGAGTAGAATAAGTGCTTCGAAAATTGGTTCGGGCGCATGTAGATGTGTATTAACCTTCGTGGAGAATACTTCGAAAAAAAATAAGGCCATTTAAAACTATCTACCGTGTTGTTTTATTTCCATATGCAAAACTTAAAAAAATACACTTATAAATAGGCAACACAATTTTGATACAACCACTGTTTTTCTTTTGAAAACTCACACTGCACGTTTTTGTATTTAAAGAAGGTGTTCAAAATGTCGTCCTCCACTTTCCACACAAGCTTCATTATGACTTTCACGAATGCTATGAGGGTTTTCTTGAGTATTATGGAAATTTAATACCCCGGCTCGCGTAAAAGTGATGGAGTATCCTATTTTTGATGTTAAGACATTCGCACTCATATCTCCTATTTTGCCGCCTCTCTATTTCAGCTATTAAAAATGCAATTTCGTCCATGTAGATGGTACGTTAATCCTGAATTTACACCGCCCTTGTTGGCGACATTTTTTTGACAACGACAAGTGCTACATCTACGGCATCGCTGCGAAGCTCGTGTACTATCAGAATCAAACAGAGCGCTGTATCTATTCTGCTTTTGTCTACCCGCGTCACGTTCCAAACACACGACAAGGGTGAGAAGACCCTACATTAACTAACTCATGCAGATTTGATTCATACTCGTTACCATAGGAGTGCCTCGAGGGCTTGAATTACCCGTTAGAACGTAGAAGTGTGGGTTGTAATGTGTAGCTATTATTATTCAAATTGGTTTTCAAGATCCTCCCAGTTGAGTTCGTTATTAAAATTACAGAATAATGTATCGCGGGATAGTAATATAGCATGGATAGCTGTTTCGAGCTTTCTAGCGACTCATCAGCTTGGTCTACGCCTAGTCTCAGGATAGGCCAATGACTTATTCTTTTTCGTCTTCTTGTTCATCTTTTCTGCAATTTAAATTCAGCTTCTGAAGAAGCTCTAATGCATCCACTTTGTCGGACAGACCAGTAATGGAACGTCTTAATCGCCGAGACTCTAGGTTGAAACGTCGCAGGAGAATAAGTGACTGACCCTCCTTTTTGGATATACGTCATCAATTCAGAATATTCAAGTAATTTTGTTTGTACATTTTCTAAGCTCTTTATATAATATACATGTAAAGGGTTTCATATCTAAGAAGCGTACACAAATTTTGGTTGCACCAGTGAAAAAAAAAAGAGTGTTTGGTACTGCTTCGTTAGATAAAGATTGTCAGTGACGCTTGCTATATTAAGTGACATATAAATCCAAACACCCAGTTTAAATGGTTTTATTTTAATAAAATAAATGATAAAAATTTCAAAATGATTGTACTGCTTTAAAGCCCTTTGACCTTTAATAATGTGTGGATGCACCCTGATGTGCTACGCATTCTCCAACGCGCCTAGGCATGCTTCTGATCAGGTGGTCAATGTCCTCCTGTGGTATCTCATTCCAGGCAACCACCAACTCCTCTCGAAGTGCTTCTAGAGTCTGAGGAGGACGTTGCAAATTGAGCAATCTCCTACCCATCATATCCCACACGTGCTCAATTGATCAATTGATAAGTCGGGAGATCTTGGTGGCCATGGTAACAATGTGACATCATTATGTTGAAAGAAGTCTATTGTGACTCTTGCAACATGTGGTCGGGCATTATCTTGTTGGAAAGTTGGATCTGCCAGGGTGTCAAGATCGGGTAAAAGATGGGGTTCTATAATCTCGTAGATATAACGCTGCGCGTTCATGTTACCTCTGATGAAGATTAAAGGTGACCTGGAAACATAAGCTATAGCACCCCAAACCATAACTCCAACAGTGTGATGAACATATCTTTCAACAAAAAACTGCGGATTCCTCCTTTCACCACGTCGCCTTCTAACCCTGGCACGACCATCGTGCATGCCTAAACAAAATCGAGACTCGTCACTAAAGACAATACTGTTCCATTCCTGATCCCAGAGTGACCGTTGTCTGCACCACTCAAGGCGATTACGTCGGTGTTCTCGAGTTAAAGGGAGGACCCAGTGTGGCCGGTATGAAAACAAGCCAAAACTTCTCATTCGTCGGTAAACACTTCGCATGCCAATAGGTCTTCCGTGTTCTACAAACCATTCATTTGCAATGGACCTGGTAGTGGAGAAACGGTCCCTTAAGGCCAATAATCTTAGGCGGCGATCTTCACGGTCTGTTGTTCTACGGCGGCGTCCAGTGCCTGACAACACCTAACCACAGTGTCTACACTTCTTTGCACTCTAACTGCAATTGCCCGAAAAGAAAGTCCAGCTTCCCGAAGTCCCACTATACGGCCCCTATCAAACTCACTAAGTTGACGAAATCGTACAGGTCTCCGTACTCTAGGCATCGTAACCGATCGTAAAGGATCTCAAGAACCAAAATCCACCAACGTTGATTCTTTACTGCGGCTGAAATATTCATTTTTAGAGCGTTAGTGAATTAAAAAAAAGCAGTATAAAAACCGGAATGTCCAACTGATACGGCTGAACATTTTTTCACTTGTTATTTACAGTAAGATAAATACATTCACCAACTTTTATTAAAATAAAACCATTTAAACTGGGTGTTCGGATTTATATGTCACTTAGTATATATGGACAAAAAAATCCCACCTGTAGGAAAATGTTACATCAAGATATCGGGACTTGACAACTTCGAACCTTCACTGTGAGCGCACCTTTAAATCAATTACCGAACTGTCAATGTCGAAACGTTCAGTAAAAAAAAAACATCTTCATCACGGTGAAGTACACGAACGAACAACGTGTACAAATAATTAAAATTTATAATGGAAATTCCGAGTCGGTGACTGCGACTTGAAGAGCGTTAACGTCAATTTTTGGTCGAAACTCTCGTCCCAGTAGACAAGCAATTCATAGTCTAGTAAAAAAATTTGAGTCCACATATTCGCTGCTGGATGTTCCCGTGTCGGTGAGTCTAAGGGTTGGTCGAAGTGCCGAGAATATTGTCGCCGTTCAAGCTTCCATCGCAAACGAACAGAACACGTCGATTCCACGACGTTCTCAAGAATTGGGCATCGCTCAGACCACACTATGGCGAATTTTGCGAAGAGATCTTGACCTGCACCCTTATAAGATCAAGTTAACTCAAGAACTAAAACCGTTCGATCAGATGAACCGACGTACGTTCTCGAATTGGGTTCTAGAAATGTTGCAAGAAAATGACCAATTTCATCTTCATCTTCAATATGCGTTATTGGTCAGGTGACAATCCTCATGTGCTCCAAGAAACACCACTTCATCCACAAAAAATAAACTAACTTTTTTTTTCGCTGATCGCTACAGAGGCATGTTGCAACGTTATTCTTTAGTCAGTTGGATGGGCTAGACATTAATGATATGTCGTTCCAACAAAACGCTGCCAGAAGCCACACAGTGGATGAAACAATCGAGATATTAAAATGAAAATTCGAATGGCCACCTAGATCGTGTGTTTTAACACCTCTAGACTTTTTTTGTGAGGCTACATTGAGGCGGCTCCGACGCAGTGAGTATCAAGCCATTTGCAAGGGTTCAGCTGCTTCAAAACTGACACTCCATTTTCCAACATTTTTGAATGAAGTTCATACAGTATGTTGAGAAGATAATTGCCCAGGGTGCTATAGGAGCACTTTTTGAAATTTTGTTTTTGCACAAGTGTTATGATGGGTTGAAGTGCGCACTTTTTCTGTTCAACTTCGCGATTTTTTTAAAAGGAACCTTGTGAAAAAAAAATGAAAAAGTTTCTCTATAGCACCCTGTGGGGTTTTATTTTCAGCACTCTTTGAAAATTTCATCTGAAAATATCAACAAATAAAGCGTCAATTTCGAAGCGCGCAAACCTATACAAATCGTATTTTGGACGAATTTTGTCTACTGTTTCGTACTGCCAACCCAAGCATTGCGGCGCAATGTACGGACTAAGAAAGGACGCATTCAGATAAACTGGTGGCCCTATTTCATATAATATCGCGTAGATAAGTCGTTCTGCAAATAGGTATACTTTATCTGAAGTCACTTGAAATAGCATAAAAACCTTTGGTCGGCGCGTCCTTTGTAATTTCATGACGTATCATAGGCGTGCGGTCATTTATTTAGAACGATAATAATAATGTTTTTATATCACAATAAATGGATTTTACTATCTTCTTATTTTTTTGATTTGGGATAAAAAATACTTATATTGGGAGTTTAATTTATGTTGACTGAAAGTTAAGAAATGGAAAAATTACAGAATTCCAACGTTTGACATAGGCAAATATTTATATAGCAGGTAGGTATACAAAAAGGTATATAAAGACTTACATTATAGGTATTTATATATCATCCTCGCCTTCGGAGCTGTCGCTAGAGTCATCTTGTAGAGGAATTACAACGGGATTTACAGGAGGCAAAACACAATATTCATTTTCTTTTTCAATAATATGCCTAGAACACTGCTTCCATAGGTCTGTGGCAGCAATATGAGATATTGCATCTCTTATTGTGGCCAATAGCGATTCACTTAATTGAGGGGTCTGATTCTGTTTTCTTACTTTTTTTTTTTAAAGCAGCCCAGACCAACTCAATCGGGTTAAAAATGCAGTAATAGGGAGGTAGACGTAATACTTCATGGCCATTTTGATGAAGCAGATTGTCAACAACATACTCTTTTTCAAATTTTTGTCTTTTAATAAGATCCAATAATATGGCTTTGGTTGATTTTTGTGGTATTTCCATTCCCTTATCCTTCATAAAATCAATAATGTCTTGTTTTTTGTGCCTGTATTCGGAATTTTGTTTTTCTGTCGGGAATGGTATGGCGCATTGTCCATAATGATCACTGAATTTGGGGAAATGTTTGGTATTAACTGCTGCTCTATCCACTTTTCAAATAAGTCGGAGGTCTAGTCCTCATGATAGTCGGCACATGATTCTTTGATATTTTTGGCAGATAACAGCAAGGCATTAGGTATAAATCCATTTTCACTGCCAGCATGGAGAATAATGATTCGTTTTCCACGGTTGCATGGTTTATTTAAAATGCACTTGTTGCTGCCGTCAACCCAGGCGTACTGCACAACATCATGGGTATCATACCACGT